CGAATTGCAGTTCGATTTTTAAAGGAACTGCATCCTTTCTGTTGTGGATTATGAGCATCCGAGGGAATAATAATTTAGATAATAGTAAATGACTCTAGTAATGCTTATCTCAAAGGGTAATATGGAACTCATTGGAATGTTTGAATATATTGCTTACACTTCAAAAAAACGGAGTACTCATGCTTCGTTAAACTTTACAATTGTGAGTAAAAGCTAGTGACATAAGTATGCAGCGTCCGTAAGCACAGTCCATAAAAGATGGGAAAATGCGCGCTAATACAGCTTTATTAGCTATAGCTAATACTTAGCACATCGAAACACTTATAAGTGTTGCGATGTGCTAAGTAAACAGTTCAGGCACTTATGCGGCGCCCAGTTCATTGAGATGAACAAATTATTATAAAATATGAGGTTTGCTACATAGTTCACTGTTTACATGCTGCTATCAACCAAGTGAGACATGTTTCCGAACGTTCGGTCCTGATTTTCGATCAGTTATCAGTTAGATTGAGTGGTTTAAAGCAGGCCTTTCTCGAGCCAGGTGTGAGTGCTTGATAACTTTGCACGTAGAACTCTCGAAAAAAGAAGCATTCAAACGAGTACCAAGGGGAGGTTTTCACAACTTTCACCTAGTGGTAGTTTCGTCATTGGTTAGTCTGACAGGTACCTGGCAGTTGGACGGTTGCCACCTGTGTGCAAGCTCTCCAGATTTCAAGTGTGTGTCTGATAACTGATTCAAAGACGCCCGCCGAGATATCGTAAGGTGAGTAGTTAGCATATAGGTGGTTTAGCATCCTTATTCAATTACCTGAACAGCGTAAGCGCGTACTGATAAAACTCAAAAGCTTACAACAGAACTCTGTGTATTTTTTACCTATTGCACGTCTCGCCTCGCATGTACATGTGCGAATTCGAAGGCGGACTGATTCTCGTCAATCACAGTTAGCCAAACGCACTTATCAACTTCAAGGTCGGCTATGAACTCTCCTCGCTCAAAGGGTTGTTACAACCTTCCCATTCATACTCCCGAGGCCACTACCGCGGCGACGGATGTGTGCGCTCGTCCGGTTGCAAAATTTTTCCCATCTGTTCCAAAATTATGGTGCACAGAATGC